TCAATCATGTCACCCCTCAGTCGTCGTTTCTCCAAGCTAAAGAGCCCCAAGCGCTTTAACCTTTCCTCATAGGGAAAGTGTTCCAACCCTTTTATCATTCGAGTTGCCCTTTTCTGCACTTTTCCCAAAGTTATAATATCCTTTTTAAGGTGTGGTGACTAGAACTTGTCTGCAGGGGTCAAAACGTCTTCAGGGAGACCACTGAAGCGGAGAGCGCACCCACCACCGCCCCTTCCCCGCATTCCCCAGCACCCCTGAGCAAGTACTCCCCGGGGGGGTGTCCAAGACAGAAGGCTTCCCCCAGCCCCACCGCCCTGCTCCTCTGCGGCTCCCCCCTCCCGCCCCCTCCTTTAGTAGTAAAGTCAGACTTGCCGGGTGGATCCTGGAGCTCCACAGTCTGGCAACACGGAGCTCCGGACAAGCCGCTCGGTCCCTTTTGGGGTCTCCGTGTGTCCTGTTGGACTGGTGAGCAGAAGGGGGTTCTCTGTCTCCCCCCCTCCCGCCGCCCCCGCTTTTCCATTGTCACACTGACCTTTGCACCGGGCCGGGGGCTGGAGAGTTTGGTCCGAGCCATCCCCACAGTTATCCACGTTGCTGCTGTCACACACCAAGGTGCGGGGGATGCATCTGCCGTTGCGACAGGGAAAGTACGCTTCTTCACTGCAGGCTGAAGCGTTTAACCCTGCAATGACAGCATGGCAATGCTGCGGGGCGGCCCGACAGCCCCAGACCCGGCTAGACCCAGTCCTGGCTGCTGCTCCCAGCTTACCGGTTCGGAGGGAGGTGAAGCCACCCACAAAGTCCACGCGGGGCCGCTGGCCACGGGTCACGAGCCGCAGGGTCAGGGAGCTGCTGGTGGATAGGAGGGGCCTGGGGATGCTCTTCCCGCACAGCGGGCCTCCCAGCAGCGGGGCAGAGTGGTCCTGGCCATCATACAGCTGCACGAAGGAGCCAGCGGCACAGGGGCCCAGGGTCTCCTGCTCCCGGGGGGGCTTTGGGGTCCCTTGGGGGAGGTGCTCGCTGTGGGCGCTGAGCGGCGTGCTGGACAGCACAGGTGACAAGCTGTACACCAGGAAGAAGCGGAACTGGAACTGCACCTTGTCTTTTGGGGAGGCGGCCTGCAGCGTGACCTCGCAGTCGGTGCCCGTGACCACAAAGTAATAGCGGCGGGAATCTCGGTGGGAAGTCAACATCATCCCGTCCCCTTGGAGGGTCTGGCCACAGACGTCTACCAGGCTCACTGTTGGAGAAGAAAGGCCCAGCACGTGACGAGCGGCTTCCCTTCCCTGGAGAAGGAGGCCGGAGTAGATCCATCTCGCCCAGCACAGTCCAGGCACAAAGGGAACAAGGCGCCCGCTGGGACCCGTCTGCACCTGCCGGGGGTGTCTTGCGTATTTCAAGGGCAAGCAGATGTGATTAAATATTTATTTCTGATTTCTCTTCCCCACCTTTCTGAAAAGGAGCACCCATAGCTACTAATAGTGAATTTAGCAGAGAAATCCCGCCTCCTCCTGAACTCCCCCAAGGTGGTTTCTGTGGCGTTTAAGGCAGTGCTGCTGTCCCCGACTGGCAGCCACCCGGTGTCCCCCGGGGGCAAGAGACACAGATGCTGGCTGGCTGAGCCAGGCACCTCCTGCCCTGGCGCCTCTCTTCCAAGTGGGACCCCCCTTCTACTCTCCTGTAAAACCACGAGAGGAAAGCGGAGCTGGGCAAAGCCACACGGGGATCACACACCCACTGAGTCCTGTGGGCCTTTCCGCTCCGGCTTCCTCAGCTCCCGGCCCACACCATTCATCTTCAACAGATTTGGCCTAGGGGCAGTTCAGAGACTTGGCCACGGATTCCCTAGCAGCCCAGTGAGGGACCAAAGAAATCTGAAGAAATCTTCATCCTACCTGTCTGCATGGCTGAGGCTGCAACGGTCACGGCGCTCAAGAGAAGCCAGCAGTTTGCCCACATCTGCATTCTTCCCCTCATCTTTGCATCGGTCTGTCTGGAAGAAGAGACAGGCTGTCTGAAATGGTAACAGCTGTGAGAAGCAGGAGTGAACACACCCAAAGCTCTCCCCAGTGAGCAAATCAAGCCGGAGATTAAGTCTGCAAGGCCTTGACAAGGGAACAAAAGAAGAGACTGGCAAGATTATTTAAAAAGGTCCCATCCTGGTATAACACCCCCCCCCCCGCATAATGGAACCACAGCTTAACTTTTTTCCTGTTTCATTTTACCTTTTGTGACTGTTTGCACGGCTACGTTGCCATGGAGAGGGGTGGGCATCTGACAGAACAACGCAAGTGACCAAACCTGCCACCCAAAGAACCGTGAGCCCTGCTTTCTGGGCATCTCCATGCTGTGTGGAGAAATACCCTCCACCCTGGAATCCACCTCAACAGTTTATTAATTGGGGCTACACAATACACACATTCCACACAAGCTGCAACACTGATAAAAGGAAAACTACAGGAGGTGAGTTCTCTCCTGCCCACTACACAGAGCACTCTGGCTTTTAGTTATGCAAATAGCTCTAGCTGAAGTAAGGACAAAAGGTTTAACGTCTCACACACCTTTCCTTGATAGTATTTTCTTTCTCTGGAGGCAGGAAAATCTGATCTGATACATCCTTAAGACATGAAAAGGAAGCTCTCGCTCCTCTCTTATCTCATGGGTCCCTCCATATGTAAGCTATGAAGGACTAAGTCCTTGCCTAGAGACTCCCAACTTGACCACGTGTCAAGGGACAACTGGAGAAGTCCCGAGTAAGGTGATGAGGGACCTTCAAATGCTGAAACTTCAAGAATTGCTAACTTGCCTTAATTAAGCATTTTTTAGGATAAGTACTGAGTGTAGAACAAAGTTTGAGTCCAGCGGCACCTTTAAGACCAACAAAGTTGTATTCAAGGTATGAGCATTTGTGTGCACGCACACTTCCTCAGATACCTCTCATACCTTGAATAAAGAATAAAACCTTTGTTGGTCTTCAAGGTGCCACTGAACTCAAACTTTCTTCTACTGCTTCAGACCAACATGGTGACCCACCTGGATCTACCAAGTGCAGAGTGACAGAACTGCGCATTTTCACCTTTTCTTTGTATCCTTGCTCAGCCTGATGCTTGAACAGACCCTGTGAGCACACTTTTTATTTTGCTTATTAAACTATTAAACTTTTACATGCTTCACACCCAGTCTCTGTAAACACACCCATGCTTACTGGGTCTTGGCTGTTCAAAAAGGGGGAAAGGGGAGGAGCAGCAGGTGAGCTCACTGTAATTTGAGCTGCAAGAGCTTGAAAAGTGCAAAGTAAGAAATAACATGTAAAGGCAGAAAAATTCTGCAGTAAGCAAAAGAAAGTGTATTATTTGGACAGAAACTCATACGATAGCAAGATTTTATAACATTGAAAACATTGAACTTTTAATAAAATATTATCTTGAAACATAGCATTCTAATTGTTGCCAAAATTATTTACATTTAAACAAAAACATTTTGAGTAAAACCTCTCTATCTGAGGCATTGTGTGCATGCACACAAAAGCTCCTACCTTGAATAAAACTTTGTTGGTCTTCAAGGTGCCCCTGGACTCAAACATTGTTCTGAGTAAAACCTTGTTTTTTCATTTTGTTCATTCCAAAGTCAAAAAAGACAGGATTTTGGTTCAGTGTATCCACAAATTTACCAGTTTCCCCATTGGAAAAATGGAGGAACTCCTCAATGCTTTTTAAAACAAGACGTTCCTGTTCAGAAAAAGAAAATTCAGGGTGGTAGAGAAATGATAATTCTGACTGGGGAGTCGGAGAGGA